TTCGAGATAGCTGTAACTTCTACCTTGTTAAATATGCCTTGCTTAAGTTCCTCTCAGTTGCTTTGTTTGAGTGTGGTATTGAAAAAAAAAACAAAATTACATATTTTTTCAAACTGTGGAAAAGTATCACTATTTAAGGACTTCATGTATATTTCCTCATAGCTTAAATTTATTTTTTTTCAACTACAAAAAAACTTTGAAAGCCTAAGAATTCGGTAAAAAGTGTATCTAACTCTATGTCTCGCATGCACAACTCTTTAACAATGTCAGTAAATTGTGAAAAAATAATTGTAAGTTATAGACAAATTATTTGTTATTATACTGAAAGTTACTTTCGATATAACTAACAACACACGACAAAAAAATCTTTAGCCTTCTTGTTGAATAATTTAAGCTTATTATCGCAACTGGTACGTAACGACCCGGCGATATGCCCATAAAACGATTGATCTTTTTGTTGTATTAATTTCTTGGGCATATCAAATATTTTTACACATTAACATACTTTTTACAGTATAGTTTAAGGAAGGTGCAACGTTATATAAAATCCTTGAGAAAATCCTAAAGTATTGTGTTTGAATTAAAAATTCAGTACAAATCAGTGCAAATTTTGAAAAATCAGGACATTGGCGTACTGATTGAAGAAATAAATAAAATCAGTACAGCAGTTGAAAAATCAGTACTGTACTGATAAAATCAGTACGTCTGGCAACCGTATATGTGAGTAACGTGTTGCCATTATAAAGGCGAATATAATAAGTTATATTATTTTATAAGTTTAATAGCAATTATGAGTATTAGCGTAAGAATATTATAAAGGCGAATAGGAACAAGTAAAGAATACCCACGGTTTCGCTAGAAAAAAACTAAAAATAGGAGTCGAAAAATAGGATTTGCGTCCACAGTATTTTTGCCTAGAATTCCTTTCTGCGTAGGTGGCCTTCGGCCGCGCTTTAGGATTATAACCCTTACCAAATTGAATTCTCCTTTTGGTGTGCACCAACTGGGGCTACCGCCCCAGTGATGTAGCTAACTAGAATTGTTGGTAACTAGAATTTCCTTTCTGTGTGTGGTGTCTATCACAGCGCACAGCAGTGTGCGCGAGTGACGAAAGCATCCACAGTAGCATGCTGAAATGACTCGCTTATATATACACGAGATTTGGAAGTGTTTACCCAGACGTCCAATCGACATGTTTGATATATCGTTGGAAACGTCTTGCAGAGTGTGTCCAGAAAATATAATCAAGCTTCGTAAACGATTAACCGGATTCTTAAAAATTAGGCTAAAGTGTTGCGAAACAAAAAACGTTATTTTGCTTTTGCCGGTTTAAGGGGGCATGTGGGCACACCCAACATATTTAGTGTTATTCTATAGGCCAATACCTTTCAAACGATACCTTATATATTAAGTTCCGGCCACTAGTTGGAAAGATATAGAGGTAAATGTGTTTTGGTTCGTGTCTCCACTACGAGATGCTTTGGTATGTATGTGGCGTCTGTACGTACCATCATTTAATTTTTTTCAAACTTTCAGGAATTAAAGTACACAAAAAACTAAGAAGGTTTTGTTCCAGGATGTTTTGATTCGTATGCCTGTGTGGGCGTGGCTGCTGCCTGAAATTCGAAAAAAGGCAGTTTTTTAAACTACCACTGAGGCCGCACTACTCAGTCCATTGGTGCGATTCACTACGCGATTTTAACAACTCTTGTTATTTATAAGTCAGCTAAACGACAATTTTAACAGTT